CCCCCCCTCAAAAAAAAACTTCTCAGAACCTCTAATGATTACCGAATGATTGGTGAATGTGTAGACGAGAAAAGAAATCTTAAAGAGCTTTAAGTTTTCCTTTTGTATTGATCTTAAATGTATCTACCTTTTGATTGCTAAAAATGTAACAAGCGTCGTAAACTGAATTGGAGAAAGCATCACTTACACGAAGCAAAAGATAACAAAGATGACTCAAAAATAAAAAGTGAAGACTTGTTGCTCATTGAAGAAACGGAAGGGGGGATGGGGAGGGGGGGGGGCGTCGCCAACCATTTCTTGTCTCCGAGATGACCAGTTCAGTCTTCAATAGAAATAAACGTGTTTAAAAACCTCTAAATGTGAAATTTATGCTAGCTAATATACACCGCGGCTAGTGCAAAAGCTGTTCTTTAAATCGTATGTACAACATTCTGCTTAGTTTTTTTCTTGAAAAAATTGCCTTCGAGGATTCAGCCGATTTCCTTGAACTTCATTCAGCGTGCTCTCTTCCGTACTCCTTGAAATATTCGGATACCTTCGGCAGTCTTCGTGCGATACTCTATTCTGGATATTCCATTGGCGCAGACGAATCATGTTCACCACTGTTTCGCGAAAATCTAACAGTTGTTGAACAGTTGTTACATATGAGTCGGTGGGTACGCTTGCTCACCAGGTCTATTCATATGCATGTAAGGTGACGCCGACATGTATGAACAGTCAGAGTTCGGACGATAATATGGCGGGGGTGCCGGTGCAGGGGGAGGGTGTGGGGGAGGCATAAACACCGGACCGGAATTGTTTGTTAACACAGGAGGGGTGGGGTAATTTTGACTGTGTGTTAGCGGGGTAGATGCTGGCCCATTCCACATGTTATTTATATTTGCGCTGCAGCTGGGGAGCTGGTATGGAGAAGGACTTGATTTCTTTTGTTCAATTTTGGACGTCGGAATTGTTCCTGGAGGTGATTTCTTCTCGAGTTTTCGTTTATTTTCCGCAGCTTTGTCCAGTTGGCGACATTTCGCTCTTCTGTTTTTGAACCAAACCTAAATCGGTGAAAAGTGCAATTAGTACACTGAGTTTGATCACAATGCTTACAGTTCTAAAACATTTTGCTTTGGGTTACGATTTAACCCCCACTATCTACTTCAAACCTATCCAGTTAACTTACCATACCAGTTAACAGTAAGAATTGTCCTACTACAATAATACCTTAAAGCCAACAAGCAAAGTAATTCTCATAAATACTCTTGTAAATAACGTATTAAAATGCTAAGGAGAAAATACATATTGATCTCAGCTAATGCAGAAGCACGTCGCAATTTGACCTTTTATTATTCAGTTCATCTAAAATCCTTGTTTAATATGTTTCCCTAAAGAGTGACAGGCTTCCAATTTCCCCTTACAAAATCACCCTTGAACCAAATATTAGGGTCATAAGAATAAAGAAAATGATCACCAATTCAAAAAGCTCCAGATTATCGATCAAATTCTCCTTGCTGGTAACGTAGGAAATGTTAAGATGCCAGTGTGGAGAATATGATTAGTAATGGAGAGTAAAGGGGGTAAATCTTCGTAATTTTGATGCATGCTTGGTCCTTTTTGGTGTCATCTTACTCTTTTCATGTTTGGTTATCTTAGTAACGTCATTTCATAATTTTATTAAATTCAAGGTTCTCTGTCATTTTGAAAATGTCTCCAGTTGTTGTGATAAAGCCCATTGTAGTAAAAGAATGTTCACTACTAGTCTTTTCTCTCGCATAACGATACTGGTATGGGTTAGGGTAGCACGGTTACCTTTGGTGTGGTGTAAATGAAATTTGTCGCCTTCTCCAAGAAATCTATGGCCAAAGAATAGTCAGAGAAAAGGCTGAAATTCGCTTTCCCGAAAAATTGAAGATACGAATAATACGCGATGAACAAAAAAGAACCAAACCTAATGTAAAGTTTAAAGAATTAAAAGAAAAAAAAGGTATCATTTGTACGCTGTCGACTAATGAGTCAGGCAAGGATAAGGAGTTGGCTCAATCATTATGTTTGAATGTATTTTCAATTGTATGGCATATCTCTGACTGCACCTCAGTTGCTGATGCACAAATAAGACAGATTTATTTTTAGCCGTAATTAACCAATACAAGATATCCTGTTGGGTAACCACGGCAAATTCTTGCGGTGAATAACTTTTCTCTCATAAAAGGTGAAAAACAAAAATCAAAGTGGAATCTCCGAGTGCTTATCCAGATCTTACACCTGTTTAACCTCGTACCCAGGCTGCCAAGGTTGGTACCTGTCAACATGCCTTATCTTTCGCTCTATCACTGATATCCTGATCGCATTTTCGCTGGAATATGTCTTCGTTCCTTTGTGGATTATCCAGACCGGTGATACGGGATTTACCCCACAACTGGGATTAAGGGTTTTAAAAAATGTTTTTGTCTGGCGAGGAGCAACGAGTCCCTAAGTGAAAATTGTGTGTTACTGCTTCCGTTGTCCTCGAAAAGCGCGCTCCCTTCCAGCTGCTTCAATTTTTTCTCTTAGATTAGTTAGGAGAATTTGGTTTTGAGTCTCAAGCTAATGATCTTGTCTCTTCTCGTCATTTGTTTGCCAAAAAGTGTATATGAAAAGCTTTAAGGATCAGAGGCGAAACTAGCCCTCTATACAAGAAAACCATCACACAAGGAAGAAATTCTCTTTTGCTTTCATTAGAATGGTCACACTCTAAATTCACGCAGAGTCTTACAGTTAGTATCTCCCCAAGTATCACAATTAACAGCGATAAATGAAAGAACAGCTTATTGTTAACATTTTTTGAGACAGCAAAGCATCCAGCCCTCACAAAGTGATCGCTAAGAACACATCCAACTCAAAGACCAACGATAACCCAATTTTTCTGATATTACTGTTAGCAACGACAGCTCGTCTTCGTATGGAAAACATTCCTGTATCATATCGCGACTTTCAAATTCTAAACCTTCTTCATTCAAGGAAATGAAAAGATATACAATATAAGAAATATTTTAGGATAAAGTTTGAGAAAACTAGTGTTTTATAATGCATTCAACAATTACTGATGCATCCAACGATGTTGGTATTGTTTTATCATCAGAAATCTCTCAAGACATTTTATCCCGGAAAATTAAACCCGAATTCGTGACTTGAAATTCCGTGACTGTTAAGGCTAGACAGTTTTTATCGCCAAAAGCCTTTGTTGAAAGTAATCCTCGCTGTTAGATCACAATTGATAAAAAACTTCTTGTTCCTTTAAGCTAATTTAGAGGACTAAGATCAATTTCCATTCTTCTATGACATACGAAAAAAAAATCAAAAGTATTCCTTTGTTTGTACGATATCAAGCATCAAGCACAACTACATATCTTCGGAAACATATTGCCTCTTTTGTCTCCGTTAAGCTAATTTAGCAGCTTAAGATCAATTCTCCACTTCCCTTACTTGAAGCAAAAAGCAAAAAAATAACAAGTGTTCCTTTGTGTGTCGGCTATTCAGAGCAGGTATATATCTTCGAAACCACATTGCCACTTTAAATTTTAATGTTGTGTTTCCTTTGCCCATTTGTTTTATGAGGAATTACGGAATGGTATTTCCTGAGATCGACTTTACAAATGCATCAAAAACCAAGGTTAGGGTGTTGTCTTTTTTTGTTTTGAGCCCCTGGAGAGGCAAACACAAAGAGAGATCTATTTTAAGACTGTTAGCTAAATATATAGTGACGAATCATGATGGCATCCTGGGGCAACCTCGCAGAAAAAAAAAATGGTTACATAAATTGGTAGAAAAGGCATACCTTCAAAAAAAAAAAAACCATGTAACTATGGAAAAAATGTAGCGTTTTGTCATTTTTTTAACCAAAATGTCATGTTACTCTACGTAATTTTTTTCTTTGAATAAGGTGTAACACAATTACTATAAAGAGGCAATGACAACGGGTCAAAAACTATCTAAAGCCGTTTCTTGATGATAAGGAAGACGTGTAGAGGAATTATCTTCGTTATTAACTCACGACAATCAATATGAACCAGTGTCTTTTGTACGCCTGGAAACTCAATGAAACATATCGAATACATACAGAGGTACGTTGTAAAAGCAACACCCAAAGATACCTTGAATAAATGAAATTTGAATCGTCGGTTCCTTTTATGGTAAACAAGTAAAATTTCCCATGCCCCAAATTACCGTAAATTTTGACGGTGAACAGTTTAAAAATGTACCGGCTAGTGTCCGGGAAGATCTGATATTTACGGCCTTGAGAAACATCAGAGATGAAATTGACCCTCCATTATAGCTAGATTATCATGAAACATTCATAAAAGCTATAAAAAAAAACATAAAACGTAAAAGATTGCTTCTACCATCTTATGGAATTTCAAGAACTCGCAGAATGATTAGTTAACAACTAGTCACTATGTATAATTACCTTCTCTTACCTATTGCTTAATCGTTCTATATTAAAACTTTTATGGTCTCTTTTGCCTCGTGTTATTATATTATTGAGTGTTGAGGCATGCAGTCACTAAAATAACCTTAAAATGTTAAACGGTGATTTTTAACATGTCAAAGTCTGGAAGGGTAGCCAGCTTTGACAACAAGAAAAGAAAAGACATGATACGATTCTCCTTCTCTGCATCCGTGATTCGAAAGGATCATAATTTTTATGAAATGTGAATTAACTTTACAACCAGCTTCACATACCCAGTCCCTGACACAAACTGATAGAAATTTTCTTCTCGTGATTTTAGATTTTATTTAAGAAGCACGCTGATGAGCAAATATAGAAGAAATTAATGTCTTCTATCTTGTATTCGCTGAAATATACCAGTGAGGCCAATATTTCACCACATCATGGCTGATATTGTAAAACGGGTAAAAGAAAAATATCCAGCTTGAGATGGATTCCATTCTTCCAAACAAGAAGTGATCAATGCTGATGCTCTATCAATATAGTCTCTCATTCAAATATCGTAAATGTAAACAGAAATGGAGTTCTTTTCGTTGTTGTTTTTTTTTATGAAGGAAACATTTTGAGAGTTGAAATACTTCATACTAAAAACATGCATTGACTGAGAAGCCGCATGCAAATTATTACGGTACATTAAAAAATTACACACAATGTCGGGAGCTAAATGTAGCCACTGTGAATGTTTCTTTCCTGTATCTGTGTTTGAAGCAAATACGTACTGATAATCTTGAATTTGATACACTGAATAATCGTAAGACCTCTACAAAATACGCAACTTTAATACATCCATCAATTTTTAGTTGTCTGTACATCTGCAGGGCATACAAAGAGTAATTTACAGATGTGTTTATTACTAGGGCGGGACCCAGGTGTCAGCTTGTCAGCGGTCTCTCCACTCCAATCCCCCAAAAAGGCTACCTGGGAGATTAGGGCGTGGAAATTACTGTCACTTGCGCTAACCAAACGGAGGGTGTTTCTAAATTTACATGCCACCCTTCCCTTACATCTCTACCTTTTGCTCATGGAAAAATATATGAATAAAGGGAAAACAAAATACCTGCACTCTGCTTTCTGGAAGGCTTATTTTCATTGCGACTTCTTCCCTCATGAAAATGTCGGGATATTTTGTTTTGCTAAATAACTCTTCTAGGATTTCCAGTTGGGCCTTGGTGAAAGTCGTTCTCTCTCGACGCTGTTTTCTCGGGTGCGCTGTATGAGAGAAACAAAAACAACATTACGTAAATTCTCCTTCCAAAATCAAACTGTTTTAAATAAACATGTTATGAGAACATACAACATTATCAGTAAAGGGGAAATAATCCGTGGTAGCGACAAACCTCCCACAAATAGAATGGTAATGGAGTACGCTAGCAATGGCAAAGAATTCACACATTTTTGCGAAAGGATTAGGAGGTTATGTCAGATGAATACAAGAGGCATTATTTTGCTGTATAATCAAATTAACCACTATACTTGGAAATTACAAAAATTCAAGGACACCAGCTAGGATGTCTTTCTCACAGCTTCTCAATTTGCACCAATGGATATTTTTACTTATCACAGCTTTACAATGTTAAACGCTGTTGACAGGAAACTGAAACTTTGACTTTTGCACAGGATTAATTCTAAGCTTCCACTCGTTGCATCGAGTAAACCCTTAATTAGCACCCTGCATGTGCAAAATGAATTTTAGCACACTTTATTCAACATTTAGTGTGGACTGAGCAGCTTTTATGACATTACCGCGATGCCCCATTTTTCATCTCGATAAGTTGATGTTTTTTGACGCAGTGGCTGTAGGAGGAATGAATCTAACCCAGTTTGAAAAGATATTTCCATATACAGTATTTTTAATGGTCAAGCCTTCAATGTTATTTTTTTATGCGACAATCTGGTCTTTCTTAAATATTGACACTATTTCAGTGAGGAGTGAAAAGAAAAAGCCGTTCATTCTTTCAGCCGTCTAGTCCCATTGTTTTTGGTGCTGTTACTGTTGCATACGATAACTTCTTGCTTTAACTTATTATTATTCGGTTTTCGCGACCAAATATATCTACACCGCACACAGCTCGATAAATTCAAAGACAACATTAATGAGCTCCTGATGACAATCAGTGGTAGATCAGTTTTTTCTGCAACAAAGTATTACTTAGCAAGCAAATCAAGATCTAAAATACTGCCTTAAGTCAGGCAAGCGTTTCGTCTCTATCTGTTTCTGCCGTTGCATAGAGTATGCCTTTGGATTTCGAGTACGGATCTGAATGAAAATGGTATTTCTCAAACTGCATGAATTTCCTAACTAATGTGTGACTTCTTCACTGAAGCGAAAATGATGTAAGTGCCTTTTTATTTTCACTTTTGCTGTTGCGAGCTTCTACTAAAAATAGATGATACAATATCAACAAAGAGCGTTGTGTGTCACTGAGATGCTGCCTACTGTGTCTTAGTGCGACGCTTCACGCAATAAATGAATTATTCAGTCATGCGCACGACCCAAACCTGAAGCATTCCTCCTGCTGCGCATGCCTACGCGGAATATTGTGGGCAACAGTGGTCAGCCATTGTTTACAAACGTATCCTGTACCTACTGTTTTGCTGACGCTGAACAAACATATGGAATTTTATGATGACAGAAGTCGGCGTTCTAGAATGTTTAATGTAAGTTTTACAACCAGATTTATGATTCTTACTTCTGCCGAACTTTAAATCCATGGTTGTGAGAAGAGAGAAACTCCGAGGAAAAATTTAACAAGTATGAATGGCCATGGTCCGTATCAATTTTCGTCTTTCACGAGAGTGAGACGTTTGTGTCACCAGAGGCGCTCTGCTTTGTACGTTATAAACCACAGATTCTCTGTTTGTCCAAAAAGGACTCAGAAGAAGTTGTGTTTGTGAAAAATAAGATCAACTGCAGCGAAGGCATGCTAAGTTGACAAACAATACATGTTTTGCTAACCATAGAAAAGAGGAAATGAAGTCACCTTGATCAATAGCTTAATAACTCTATCAGAGGGGTTTGATAAACTGTGAAACCAAACCATGACACGACCAATATTGTACGTTTACGAAAACTTACAACAACGAAGAAAGAGTCTTTGTCCAAATGGTAATCAAATGGATCAGTTAATTACAACGAGTTTTCTCTTTAAAAACCAAAAGAAGAATAAAAACTTGATGGAGTAGTGTATCAGAGCAAAACAACAACAGATGAGAGTTAATTCAAATGAAAACAACAAAGTATTAGAAGTATTCTATTTCAAATGACTCTGTTTAAACTTTCCTAAAATGAAATCATAAGTATCTGTAAACCTATTTCAGTTTACATACTTTTGCTTGTCATTATTTACTTGTAATACGGTTAACAGAACACAATGGTTACTTCTATCATTGCGTGCAGTCCCTTTCTAATGCTCTTGACTCTTGTTTCGCACTTAAGCACGTAAAAGATTTAGGGAACATACCAATAACACCACCACGAATACCGCCCCTGGCGATTCATATGGAGAAAAACCAAGGTGAAGGAATATTTGCATGGAAAACGAAAGAGTTTAGCCACGGAATTACAGCTCGTTAAAAGTCTTAACTTGTTGTTTGTGTGTTGTGAAGGGAAATAAGGAGATAAAAAGCGAAAGAATGTGCAGAACCAATTAAACAAATCCCACAGTTACCATTCGAGACGAATAAACAGGGAACGTCTTAATAACACGACCTCGCCCCAGTTTGCGTAATAATTTGCCAACTACTCGGCTCAAGTACGCATTTCTCTCTGAGAAATTTCCAAGGCGAATTTAATTGATCGTTAAGTTTCCGTGAGCGAACGCCCACCTTTCTACTTCAAAGAGTTTCGCGATATTCAAAAGAAGCTCGAGTACCTCATGATATTAAATCACTTTGACGACAATTTAGTTCAGAAGTTGCCCATTTCACGTCCACTTTTACACAGAAAAACTCAAATTTTCCTATTTCTTAGATTCCCAAAAACGTATGTAAGTGATGTAAGTGTAGCTGAATAAATATTTCGAAGTTGAGATTGACTTTGCCGACAAATTGTGTTATTCTTCTTCAGTTCAACGCGGGACAAAAATTATCGTGGCCCTAGCTCCACCTGAGGAAATCTTATTTTTGCTTCCACTTCACACTTCTATTTCCTAATAAAATTTATCACCATCTCTTATTAACAATGGCATTTCGAAATACTAAACAAGCTTAATTTACTCGAATACTCATTCTTCAGTGTAACGGCCATTGTGAATAAATAAAAAGCTTAATTGATTTACTCGAATCCTCGTGCTTTCATTTCCAAGTCAGAAGAATTCAATGTGAGCCAAGTTTTTTTACCAAGGAAAGCGCTCACCTGGAGAAAATATAAAACTTTAATCGAAAACAAAATAAATTGGCTAAATAATTGGTGGTAAACTTTCAAATTTCAGGGGAACACTCAGAGAAACAAAATAACCGATTTACTGAACGAGGCTGCGAAAGTCAGTGAATTCCAATTTGCCTTGCACAGATTATTGATTTTTGATCGAAAACAAGAGTTAACAGTATAGGGTAACAGTCATAACTATAATTATCAAAACTACCACCGTAATGCAAAATATGACTCATGAAGTTAAATTATATCGATCCACCGTTGGTAAACTTTTACTAACCTAGGTTATTGTGTCATTCCGTTTTACCCAGAGTGTATACATTGGCCACAAGATGGATGCCTATGGATCTTTCCTAATTTGATATCAAGAATCGAGAAAACGAAGAAATTCTGAAGCGAAAGAATTGTGTCCACTGTTGTGCTACTATTTTAGAGGGAAAAAGTAGGATATTTTGTCTACTATTTCTGATTTAGTTTTATCTGTATATCATCTCAGAATAAGTGGTCAGAGACTAACTAGCGTGGGTTGACAGTTGAAAACAACTTCGAAGAAAGACATGTTTTTAAAATAAAGGCACACTGACAAGGCAGGATCTTCTTGGGGTATCCTGGAGTTCTGTAGTCTTTTCTTAAACTCTCCATTAACTTGCTTATAGCGGTAGATTAGGGAAGAGCTTTTAAAGCTGAAAAGAACACAACTGTGAGTCTTGCTATCGAGAGATGCATAACATAAGCAGCCCCGCGTCGAAACCTCAGAGAAACCGCAAACGAACGTTTCATAAAGTTATCTCAACAGATTCTATGCAATCGGATGTTATGGCTTTCTTCTCAAACGAGGCTTTGTTCCAATTTCAAATAAAAACTGCCCAATAAAGTGAAAAGTTTTTCCTGTATTCTGGTTAAATTCTGTCATCTTGAAGGTTCATGACAGATTTCACACCACAGTACTGCTAAAAGGGGATGATGATTTATTAAGCCTTTAACGATGTGTAATTATTTAACAGAACATGCACTGTTTAAACAACACTTTTGAGGGAAATCTTTACATAGAAATCATTGTTTTTATTTGAAATATGACTGCATTTTACGATAATGCCGTGAGGTCGAAAAGCTAACTTCAACACAAGCAATCATGCTTCAACATGCCTACGTACAAGCATCAAGTGCTCTTCACCGAAGCGAGCAAATGGCCGGCCTCGTACTACACAAATACAAAGCAAGCTCAAATTATATAGTTTTTCATATTTTCGGACTGGTCTGAGAAGATGTTCTTAATTTACAAACTAGAGGATTTCAACGCGCCTTTTACAAAAGTGAAGATTGCAAATGTGCTGTATTAACAGCAAACAAGTCGATCTCATGACCTTCACACGATGGCAGCCTACCTTTTTTATTAGCAATCCGCTGTTGTTTTGTTTAAGATTGTTTGGGAACATGGAGTCTAGCGCATAGACTGATCTACAGCACAAGACTTTGTTACGTTACAAGGATAAATAGCCGGTTAGGAAGCTCAAATTAAAAGCGGCAACCCTTGGCTTGCCCTCCATTTATGAAACTATAGAGCCTGTAATTGGCTTTATTGTGTATTTAGAAAAGAACTTACCACACGGTGGAGGAGCCATTTGGCTGAAGAAATCGATGTTCGGTGCAGGATGACTCAATCCGTGGCTTCCCACCGAATACGGAGGCACATGTCCTCCGACATGACCGAAATAGCCCGCCATTTTGTCACAATCCGCAATCCACTGAGAAGAGAAAAAAACAGACAACGCTTGTGGTTATAAAATTACTGCCATTTATGTTCTGGTCTATAACACTGTTACCACCAACTGAGAGTAGCTGTCAGGAGTCACTGTACAAAGGAAAGCATTCAATTACGTGGCCCCTGTTTCTATTCAAAGTATATATAGCCTTGAATTACTGGGAGTCAAATAATCAACACGCCCATGTGATACGGAGCCCCGATAGCATCAAAATAAATTTACGTCTGGTTCCGTTGTTTTTGTAAGTGCTCACTCAACTATGAACTTTTCGCTTCGATGTGAGTTTTTGTATTTACGAGGACAATGGCGTCCTTTGAAAATATGTGTTGTATTCAATAGTTATTGTTCGGTCTATGTGTGTGGTATGGGTCTTGCTTCATCTGCTATATATCTACGTCGACCCTGATGAGCAGTAAGCGAGCAGACATGGATCTTATCACGGCAACCAGGTGACATTGATTTATACACTAAAGGCCAATATCTGGTGTTGTCTATCTCCGCGGTCAGGGTGTTTAAGTGCTGTCGAACTGAGTCACATGGTGATTTATAAGATACGTGTTAAGCTTAGGGTGTAAAGTTAAGTTTTCCTCTCCCAGTTGTTTGGTTCTTTTGGATGTGAATGATTATAGGGGTTGATCGGTGACAGATAAGTAGTAACGGCCCTGAACGGCCCAAACATGCACTGTAACCTATACCGCTAAAGTCGTGTTTTCAATCAACTAATTGGGGGGGCGGACTTCGTTTCATTTAGAGCAATAAGCAAATTACTACTGTCATCGGGCATAACTGCCATGCCTGATTGTGGCTTTCGAATATTCAATGTTTCTACCACATTTATTTAGCAGTATTTTGTGTTTTTCTTTCGTGTATGAATTTCTCCTTCCCAATCTTCTATCAAGCTTCATAAATCGTCCAAAAATTCACCTCTCTTGAGTAAATCAAATTTATTCTTGAAGCATATTTAGGGTTGAAAATGAATATCGTAGACAATTTAAAGGTGACTGCGAGCAGACAAAGCCCTACGTGAATTCTTCCGTTGCTCCTGTTTTGACACAATTTTTGTCTTTCTTGATATATTGCTATCATCATTCCTTCATCAAGGGACAGAACTGTCATTCAAAGTTGATAGATGCTGTACATTTGTGTTTGAAATATTTCACGAAACGGGCCGCTGCAGATCAAAAAGTGAATCTTTGCAGAAATCAGAATAGACCACCGTCGATACATAGAAATTTTTGCCAATTTAATCTTCGCTCTTACAAGGTGTATTCTTTCTGGTTGGTTTTGCATTTGCTTTGTGAATTAGGATTAAATTTTCTAGGATTATTATGTCTACATTTCCATTAACATTGAAATCTTTTATCTGCAGGATAAAGTTCGTAAAGTCCATTGAAACTTTCCTTTATCTACATGGTCTCATTTCCGCCTCAATTTGGGTTTTAAGAGTTTTGGGTTTTTTTTCGGAAAATCGCGCTTTTGTCAGAGTGGTCAACTGTAATAATAACATCAAAGTTCTCATGACTTTGATGCTTAAACAATAAAGTTTCAGCTTCGTGTATTTTCAATTTTTAAAAGCTTCGTTCAGAATTGCATGTTAGAAAGATTCGCATGACATCATACACAAATTATTATTTGGACTGTATCCTTTCGAAATGATCTTTGCCTGTTGTGATTTAAAATGACAAAGAAATTGCAAAAGTAAATAAAAGTTTGAGGGACTCTAATGTCTTCTTTGTCTCACGATCTTGACAAAAAATCTTTGCTTGCAACTTTCTCTTCGCATTCGCAAATCATTGTTTCACCCAAATGCCTTCAGTGTTTATCGAATTCAGGTCAGACATGTTCTTCTTACCTGTATCCTTGTCAAGGTCGGCTTCAGATAAGGTACTGTACTCTCACAAACTCTTATGTGTTCTACTGCGACACGATATTTCACGTCTCCTACCTTTTACGCTGTCGTGTCCTTATTACAAAAGCACGCAAACTGTTTCCTGATACGCAATTAACCCGCAGGTAACTTCTTGTTTAATTTTCGACGGTAATATTGCACTACTTTAAATCCGTCAGAAGAAAAGGAAATGCCAAAGAAAGGGTTACCTTCCTTCTTAAAAAATTTCACAGAGAAAAGCAAGTTACCAGAAGCATCGTAAAATCTATGTAAGATGTACCAAGTCAGCAAGAACAACTGTCTGAATTCTCCCCAAAATAGGCTTGTTTAAGGCAATTTTATTGAATGGAAATATAGGCGCTGAGACACTGCGTATCTAAACAACACAATTATATTGTGACACGGAATCAACGCACGTAAGAGAAGTTTGCGCCATCAAATGTGCACGAAGAATATCACGCAAGTGGCAGTTAAATCTTATGATGAAGAGATGAAAAAGTAAGCCGTTTTTTACATATGTACCCATAATGGAACGAAAACTACTCTCTTCTTTCTGTTTAAATTGACACTCGAGGAAATTGCGATATTTATACACGGCTCGAGCCTTTTTTAACCTCAATAAGGAAGAGTTTTTATATATTTTTATATATATTGACAGAAGTCTTTCACCACTTTATTCGCGTGTTGTATACATGTACGCCATTCTACCTTGAGTAAAACGTTTAAAGATAATTGAACAAGTATACCGTATACGTAATTGGCTCTTAGTTTGCTACAACATTTAAAAGCCTTGGTAAGAGGTAAATTTAAAATTAGCTGCGGTAACGCCTGTTGAAGAAAATGCAGTAATTATCAGTACTAAAATAACTGACAAAAGTGTCGCCGCAAATAGAATGTAAATACGATCCTCCAGTTTACAGAAAATACTTTTGAAATATTTGCTGGGTAGAAGCGCCTTATGAAACTTCCCGGCTCGGAATGGATTTTGTTTCCAATGATGTTCGTTTTAGTTTTCAGACCTGCAAGAAATGCTATGTCATTGCCACAAGTTTATGCAATAAAATTCTGTATACCTCCACAGACATGAAGAATTACCGTCAAAATGGATACAAGAATGAAGCGGCATTTCAACTTCGCTTTCCGTGTCCTTTTAAAGTTCTTAAGTCAGGTGTGAATGCTTTGTTTTAGGAGACGATCTTCATGGAGATAAGGGATGTATGTAACTTGTGTGGTGAGATTATCAAGGTCTCTGATTTACAAAGGTCACCATGCAAAGCTTGTATCTGTTTGAGAAGACAAAAATTGGCTTGTTTTGTGTCTGCGGTTTTGAAGCTATCGATCTTCGTTAAAAAAGGACACAACCGCAAGATATATTTTAGCTCCCACGGACCCATAATAACATTATCCTGGGATGCATTGAAACTACTGTGAATTAATTGAGTTCAAAAGCAATTTCATTACTCTCTTAACAGTCGTTATTGCACAACCATCTCAGTAAATCAAGCTTGAAAAACACGTTACGTAAGTGTTAAATTAACTTTGCAAACTTCACGAAGCTTTGGCTAAAAACATTCTCCAACAATCACCACCTGTCTCCTAAAATATTTGACACTCCCACTAACATTCTCGAGCCAAAAAAAAAATCCGTCAAGTTCTTCTATTTCTAAAGAGCATTGGCGAACGATTTTTCTGCGAATTTCAAATTGGAATTTGCAAATCCTTGAAATTGTTGAAGCTGCTTTGAAGGGGGAGGATAAACATAAAGATAGCTCATAAAGTTTCCTAGTGCTGTGCTTTTACAGGGCGTTACCGAAGACGAATTGTATCTCAATGCAACCTTTCAAGTTCTTCGTAAAGGAAGTCCCATAACAACTTCTATCTAATCTCTTAATGTGGTTTCCTGAGGCTGCTCTAAATCAGCCATACATTCATCTCGAAACCAAAGTCACGGAGTCTAGAAGAATCGATTTCCATCAACGTTTGCAAACAAGGTGGCCTCCTCTCGATTAAAGTCTATGCCTCAGATAAGAAAATTAAGCCTGAGTACGTCTCTTCCGCAGAAACTTCACAAACTCATCGAGAGATTGATAAAACTTGATTTGGGCAACAAAATCAGCTAAGGTAAAACTACCTGATCTAACCAAATTATGGCATTCAAAATGAGGCCTCCAGTTTAAAGAGTATCCTCGCTCTTTTGAGATACAGTCTCATTTCTATTTAAAAGATATTCTTCTGCTTTCTCATTAAAATGTGTCAAAATAAAGTGGAAAAAACTTGTCTAACAAGGAGATTAATTTACCCCAAACTTAAAGTGGGTGTCGGGCCATTTAATTTTGAGATTGGTTCCTTCGTTGGAGCCTTAGCTGGTAAAGAAATTAATACAAAATGACTATTTTGGTTGTTCAGAGGAAACATTGTTTTTACACCTAAAAGAATAGGTTTCTTCCCCTAATTCTCCGTGCATCATTTTGAAAACAAAGCAGTGTGTATCCAACGCAGTTAGTCAGAGATTTAAAATACAATAAAATAAAATAGATGCAGATTGTGTCTTCGTCGCACCAAAGGTTAATTCATTATAACGCCCACCATTAGTAATGATAAATGATTTCTGTTGAAGCGCGGAAAATACGAGGATTTTAATTGGCACGATTTCGTACCTTTCGTCACGATATCGAGAGAGTAAAGTCAAGTCCATTCATTTTGAGTAATAATAATCTGTCTGTTTACCATTTCCATTTTTAGATTTCTACACTGACATACTTTGTTGTCCCGAAAGTTAGAAATTCCCAACTCGTTGATGAAGGAAGTACCTTGTAAGCCCATTTATCTATCTAACTGTCTACTAATTGAAAAAAAATCCCAACATAACTAACAAATGGAAAAAGAATCCCTGAGAATAAGAATTTACGACAGTAAATTGCTTAGGTTTCTATATTCCGTGTCACAAATGAAATCTATCTACAACATTGTCAGAGTGCTTTCACAGTCCACTTGACACTAGGCAGGCGAGGGGGAAGCAGCCAGCAACAGCGATGGTGGAATAGGCGGCTATTAAATGTCTCTTTCGAACTTCTCTGAATCGCGGGCTAAAAGGAAAAGTACTAGATAAAGCACTAGCAAATTTTGCACTGGTTTTAAAACTGATGGAATGTATTTGCGTAACTCGAGTCAGACAATACCAAGATGTTTTAGTACCTGTCTGTGAAACGACAAGTCCAACGAAGACATTTGCCATCTGTAGTTCTAAGAGAAGTTGAATAAACTATTCTATGCTCCCTTAGTTATTCCCATGAAACAAAATTATTAACTGTTTTCCACGAAACCGTTGCGAGATTTGGCGGCTGAAGTTAAGATATAAACTGTAAATTTGCTCAAAGAGCAAAATTATGTTAAACTATCTGCTATTTACACTGAAGCTAACTTAAAATGCTTCACGCACTACACGAATCCCACAGGAAAAATCAAATTGAAGAGGGAACGGAAAAGCGGTTTGGACTCCCACCCGTGCTGTGTCTAAAGGAAAACACGCATGGACCCAATTCGTTGTCTTGGTGCACCGCAGATGAACACAACAACATCCTCCCCAAGAGCGTGTATTCGCTATCCTACCACGCACCAGCAAACTAAACGTCGTGTTTTTGTTTCGATGTTATTTCCATCTTTTCATTTGTCGCCGTTAAAATATTTCGATAGTTATCGCTTTGATAGATCGGTGAAATTTCAGTAAACGAGAATAGATTGTGACCGGAATGAACAAGCCTCGTGTTTTGAAACTCGACCAGCAGCATGAAGGTTTCCGGCTTCCTGTTAACTCTCCTTGGAAGATGATTCAAAAGAATACAGCAATCCAGTAGTCAAATCAACGGGAGAGGAGGGTAAAAAAATATTTCTACACTCTTCTCCGCGTTTCTAATCACGAATCTTAACGATAGAGGCAATATGGAAATCTCTGGGGACGTGAAGCAGAGCAGTAGCTTTGATGGATGGGAAGTGATTTTGACGAATTTTCCGTGGTGGTATCTCGATTGGGACAAAGTTATGTTGTCACATTGGAAGATCGATGTAATGACCATGAGTCTTTGTCGTGATTCAGTAAATCTAATGCCCGTTGTCGATCCTATTAGTAGTTTCAATGCATTAAGGTGTTGGATTTTGTTCCCAAAAATGTTTGTGTGATTGCAAGGCATTGAAGCTTATCAAAACACTAATTTGATAGAGCGAGTGATTTGACAACTCAGCTCAGTACCTACAGAGCTATTTCTGTAGAATACTGAATTGACTCTGCGCTGTTGGATGGTTTGAGTTGGAGCTATTGACGCGATTGTGTCGCGCTGTTCTTGTACAAACACAAACTCTGCTAAAATTGAAGCCTTCCAAATACTGGATTTACCTCTGACATTTACTATCAATTAATTGAATAGCAGTTTAAGTCTCTGTAAATAAGCAATTATCTACACAGATTCGATGCTGCCGATTTGACACTTTCATTGCATCATGCAAACTGAACATCGCACTTCTTACTGTAAAAATCAGTCAATTTTTCAGCATGGCTCAATATTAGTGTATGTCTGCTCTCGAATAATAATAAAAAAGCCCTTCAGCGACGATATTTGAATCAATATTCTCTATCTCAACACCATTTAAGCGACGAACGAGTGCTTTTAGCCAAGCTAAACAACAATCTCAATAACATTGCGTTAGAGTCGTATAGGGAATAAATTCATCATAATTATTCATTGTCTCTTGTTAAGACACGCGATTCTTAAAATGGTTAATTCCAATTTAACTGAAGGAACGTTTAAGAAACTATTCGAGCGTATTACACAAACCTTTTCCTGTAGAGAAGGAGTAAGCTGAATTTCCTTCTTGAAGAACCTGGCAGCTTAAGATAACAATTAATGGAATTCTCTCTGTCAAACAGCAAACGTTGAGCTTGAGATGCCCCAAGTAGCTGAAAAAAATTCAAAAACAACACGGCGTATAACTTCAAATTTCGTCCGCATACAACTCGTGGTCAGTTTACAGTGGTCAGCAAATCCTGTTTGCTGTCGCTTGATGACTTTGCCGGTTGCGTGCAGTAAAGTGTCAATTAAGTGACAACCCAGAGCGAGCCAGAAACACGCATTTACCTTATATGTAAACTCCGCGCAGCAGTAGGGTCATTTTGCTGCGGCGCGCGAGGAGCGCAGTATTGCGTTCGGGCTCACGCCTCCAAAATACTAAAAGCTTTGTAGATCGTCATTAGAGCGAACAAAGAAAAAATTCAAATGCAATTGTCCAAGGTGCGAGCCACGATTCTAAGCAGCTGGTCTCGGCGCTCTGTTGCTTAATTGAGTTAATTTCGAT